TTAAATTTTATTAGTTTTAATGAACATTTACAGAGATTTTGGGTTTTCATTCATTCATTGTTGCACTATTTTTAAAAATTCATTTACATATCACTCATGTTTTTTACAGACAGCAGAAGTAAACTATAGACAAAATTCTTTTAGAACTATTATTTCTAAGAATTATTACTTCCATGTCCTAATAAATGTTAAATAATCTGCTAAAAGATTTTATCAAAGAAGATACATGAAGAAATCTAAAAATGGTTAAGTCAAAAGTTAAAGCAAGTCATAATTAAATTGGAAGCAATGTTAAGTTAAATGAAAATGTCAACAAACCTGTACAAAGACAACGAAAGTTCTCGCATGTTTTAGGACACACATCGGAAAACAATTCAAAGACAACTCTTCCAGCTGAAAAAAGGACAGAACTGGTTTAAACTTCTTTTAAATACTAAATACTTGTACTCAAATGCTAAACAAAGAACATTAAGTTTCTTACCAGGTTGATTGTTAATAGCAATATCAAAAAAACATCGAGGACGCTGCACCTTTATTCCCATGACTCCAAAACTTCAATCTGTAAGAAAAACAGAGTTTTTATTTCATGTCAATTTGACTTGACTTGTAAGTAGGCACACACTTGGGAGAAAGGCTTAATATATATATAGAAAAAGTCATGATATATTTCAGCTAATTAGAATGCACTCCTTTGGATGATTAACTTCTTGACAATCTAATAATATATTAATGACAGTGAGGCAAATTAGAGTCTGGATTCTCAGAGATGGGACTGGTCAATGATACAGTAGGTGTCCTAGTCAAAAGATGGAGCACGCTACAACAGTAAGTTACCTTCTATAATTTAGGGGGCAGATGCAGGATTGGCAAAATTGTCCACCTCAATTCTGGTCAACTCATAGATTATAATTGATTTTGTGCCATTTTGGGAAGGAGGTGGTCATACAGTTAAGTATTTTGGTTACACAGTACAGAATAATGTCTTTCGAGTCTTTAAAACACTGTTTGAAGACAGCATCTTCTTTAGTAACGCTCCTTAAAAGTTGGTAATGCATTTCCAATACAGGTTCACTTACCCTATTAACTAAAACCAGGTGGTGGTACATTTTTCAAGTTTGATAGAAAGATGCCAAGTATTACAGAATACAGATGTTTTTGCTTACATTGTACCAACCTTTAAAAGAGTTTATACAAGCATGAACCTTAATTTCAATAAACTTTTGTTCTGATATTCAAAAAAAAAAAAAACATAGTTTAAGGCAAATAGACTAAAACAACAGGTAATATTCATAAGTTTATGGAGGGGGGAATTTGTGAAGCATAACTAAAAATGCAGTTGGAATTTTCTTCCATGCAATAAATCAGAGTATGACATTTTCATTTTGTGTGACAAACAGAAATGACTTAAGAGAAAGTATTTCGTCATTACCCAGTTAAATATCTATTTTATCACTACAGAATACAAATTACCAACTCAGAAACTGTATTAAGTTTTTAGGAATACTAAACTCAATGATCAGATTACCTTTAGAAAAAACAAAACAAAACAAAACAAAAAAAAAAAACAAGGACAACTGATCCAATCCTCTTGCACCTAGAAAATGAGAGCTCAATTAATAGAATGATTTTAAAAAGAAATACATTCAAATTCGTAAATACCTAAACCAAATCATCTAGAATGATAAGTAGGGTACTTTAATGACAGTAACACTGTACATATTCATGTAATAGGTTTATATTCTGAGTTAAAAGTTTTATAAGAAGACATTAAGTTTCTAACACAGGACTAGTATTTTGTGATCACAATCAACCTTTGACAAGCTGTTACCCTTGAATCCAAAATGATGCACAGCAAATAATTTCGAAGACTATGGCCTGGATCAGACACCTTCATCTCTAGACTGACAACACTGCTTCTCAGTACTCTGGAGAGGTCCTGAAAGCAGATTTTCCTTATGCAATCCATCTTTCAATTTCCCAACTGCTTTTGCCTAGAGTGTTGATTGTTCAGCTAAACAAACTGTAACTGTTAACAACCTCAATCTCTTCTCCATCTATAATGGTGCTGCCAATTGGCCCAGAAGTGAGAATCTTTGCCTTCTTGCTGTTGAGCTTCAGTCCATATTGAATATGACAGTCCTTGACCTTCTGCAGCAAGCACTTCATGTCTTCCTTAGTTTCAGCAAGCTAAGTTGTGTCATCTGCATAATATAGGCTGTTGTTGTGTCTTCCTCCAATCCTGATGCCATATCCCTCCACATAAGCCCGACCTCCCAAATGATCTGGTTCTGTAAATAGACTGAAAAGGTATGGAGACAGGATGCATTCCTGACACACTCCTTTTCTGATTTTGAACCATGTAGTGTTTCATTGCTCTGTTCTGAGGACTGCTTCCTCGTTCGGGACTAGGTTTCACATGAGCACAATCTGGGATTCTCATTCTCCTCAAGGTTAGCCACAATTTGTTGTGATCCACACAATCAAAAGCATTTGCATAGTCAATAAAACACAGACAGACATTCTTCTGATACTCTTCGCTTTCTGTCAAGATCCATCTGACACTGGCAACAATGTCTCTAGAGCCACAACTTCTTCTAAACCCAGTTTATATTTCTGATAGTTCTCTGGACTTGGGTGGGGGGGGGAAGGACCCTAGGAATTGATGGAATACCAACTGACATATTTCAACAAAAAGATGCTGCCCTGGATGTACTCAACCAGCTTGTGCTAATAAATCTGGAGGACAGATACTTGACAACTACCTGATTGTAGGAGACACATATTTATTCCTACTTAAAAAAAGGTGACCTGACAGAGTGTTGACATTATCAACCAATATTACTAATACCACAAGAAAGCAAAATCCTGAGATTATGCAAAAAAGACTGGAATTTTTGCCATTCCATTTTCTAATATATATTCAATTTTATACCATATGAATATCTTATCTACTCAAATGATTTTTAAAGGAAATGAAACTGAAAAATAATTATTAAGTATCATTCATGAACTTGACGTGAAAACATATATGTATATGCAAAAAAGGGAGCTCTGGTGGCCTAGTGCCAAGACGCTGCACTGCAATCCCAGAGGTACATGGTTCAAACCCACCAGATGCTCTGCTGGAGAAGGAGGGGCAATCTCCTCCTGTACCAGTCAGATCTGATTTGACGGTACATGTAAAAATAATACAATAAAAAAAAATTTTAAAAATTAGTAATTAAAAACGGCCATGATGTTCCTGGTTTGGCTGGCGCCTTCCCAGGCTCGTGGGAAGCTCTCCTTGCCAGAAGGCAGGAGCGTGGTGGTGGGAGTGCAGGAATCGTGGCAAGCTTTTGGAGTGGACTGCTTTTCCGGGAATGTGTTTGACATGCAGGTTTGCTCTGTCCCTGGAGTGAGACTAGCCAGCCTGGGCCTAGGGATTGAACCAGGAAGCGGCCATAAGCCCAAAGGGCCCTCGGGCCAGGTTCAAATTGTCTTCCTGTCAAACATTCTTCTAGGTGGTATAGCACTGGTCTGTGCACTGCTGTACAGAGGTAACTCGTGGTTGCTGTGATGCTGAAGCCTGTGACAGTGATGTGCCAATCGCGGTAATGGGCACCCATGGTGGACAGTGTTGGCTGGAGCTTCCCGACTAAATCAAGCCTGGAAGCAGGAGCAGCATCCACTTCCAAAATGGCTTGCCTCTGGAAACTCTATGTACGAACAGTGCTCAGGCTGTTCGTTCATAGGGTCGCTATGAGTCGTCTACGACTTGACGGCATTAAACAACAACAATTAAAAACATAAATATCTTCAAATTATATTGTATGAATCTGTAAGTTGTTATATGTAAAATCTACAAAAGTCAAAACCTACATAAGTCAGAATACTTGTAAAAGGAAAATTAAGTATTTTCCAATAGTAGAGAGCAACATCAAAGTTGAAAAAAGGCAACCTGTCAAAGGCAGAAAACATACGAGATTTAAAAATAATGAAGTTTAACTGAGTTATGGTTCTCAGTTTCACTTCATGTATTTAGATTATAGCTAAAAAATAAACACAGTCTGACACGTTGTCATCAAATCAATTTTGACTTGTAATGACCCTCTACTGGATTTCTGAAGCTGTAAATATTCACAAAGGGGGATAGATAATCTTTTGCTTTCTCTTTCTCTTGAGGACTGGCTGATGGATTCCAATTGCTGAAATTTTGGTTACCAGGGCAATTACCATGTACTATGTCCCCAGAACTTTGTATAGCAAAGATATATTTCCAAGAAATTGCCCACTGTGGCAATCGCTGCATTAATCCACATGGCCAAGGGTCTTTGCTTTGTAGATTCACCACCCTTCCCTTCCCAGCATCATGTCCTCCTCCAAAGAATAGCCCCTTCTAGCAACATGCCCAGCTCTCAGATGCACAGCAAAACGATGGCCTGAATCAGATTAGTCCTCAAACTGACATCATTACTCCTCAATAATTTTGAGAGATCCCTAACTACAGATTTTCCCAGTACAATGTGTCTTCTTATTGCCTGACTGCTGGTACTGAGGGTGTTTGTTAATTGTGGATCCAAGTAAAATGAAGCTGTTGACAGTTTCAATCTCTGCTCTATCCTTCATGATGTTGGCTCTCAGTCCAGTGATAAGAATCTTTGTTTTCTTGATATTGAGATGCAATCCATACTGAAGGGTGCATTTCTTGATCTTCAGCAACAAGTGTTTCAAGTCCTCCTCACTTTCAGCAAGTGAGGTGTCACCTGCATTAACAGAAGTTATTGATGACTTCTCTCTCCAATCTTGATGCCACATTCCTCTTCATAGAGAACATCTTCTCATATAATTTGCTTAGCATACAGATTAAATAGGTACGAAGAGAATACAACCTAGACACATTCCCTTCTTAATTTTAAACCATGCAATATGTCCCTGCTCTGTTTGCACAAATGCCTCCTGGTTCAGGTAGAGGTTTCACATGAGCACAATGAAGTGCTCTGGGATTCCCATTCTTCTCAATGTCAGCCACAACTTGTTATGATCCACAGAGTCAAATGCCTTTTGCATAGTCACGAAAGCACAAACAGACATTCTTCTGGTATTCTTTACTTTCAGCCAGGATTCATCTGATATCAACCATGATGTTCCTAGTGCCACATCCTCTTTTAAATTCTGCTTGAACTTCAGGCAGTTCCCTCTCTATGTATTGTTCTAGCCATTTTGAATGATCTTAAGTAGTAATTTGCTTCCATGTGATATTAATGATATTGTTCGATAGGATCCACATTCTGTTGGATCACCTTTCTTGGGAATGGGAACAAATTATGGACCACTGGTCAGACCAACTGTCCTCCAAATTTCCTGGCATAGACTGATGAGTGCATCCAAGGCTGCATCTGTTAACTGAAACAAGTTAATTGGTATCCCATCGATTTCTGGGACCTTTTTGCCAATGTCTTCAATGCAGTTTCCACTTCCTTCTTTATCATTACCAATGGCTTCTGTTCACGTTACTTCCTGAAATTTTTCAGTATCAATCAGTTCTTTCTGGCACAGTAATTCT